AAAGCAAATAATTCTTGCATGTCCTAACAGAGTGGGTGTATGCTAGAATTATTCTTCTTCACTTGTAGTTGCTATACACAAACCATTGTACCCTAAGATATATGCACTAAGTCCTTGGGTAGCTATAAATGTTGCTCTGTAGAGCAGGTAGAAGGTGCTTGGGAATGCAGTAAGGTTTGCAATGTTTTCTCTGAATAATCCAACCAGAAATAGCATGTCAGGGTGAACAGAAATTCTGAGCAGATGGCTCCTGCATAATTTCAGCTAGGTAGAGCTGCATATGACTGTCTTATATCTACCTAGTCATTAAATGTTACTTTAGGCCTGTCTGATGGTTGGTATTTCCAAAGGCACCCACGAGTATTAAACATCTGAAATCTCACACCGCTTGAAAAAGTTAATTATCCAACTCACTTGTGCTTCCTTTCACAATGAGTTTTGGCTCAATGCTACAGCAAAATACTGTGAAATGCTGCGTGCTTGTTTTTCCCATGCAAGCTGAATACTCTGTGCTGTACCAACGGCCCTCCTTCAATACCAAGGGAGAACCATGTAAATTCTCTTTGTGTAAATTAGGAGAATGTATTGATCAAATAGTAAGTTGTTCCTCAGTGCCCAGATAAATGCAAAATTCATTTTACACCTAACTCATTGGATTCCTGATTATTTCACCTAAAAAAAATGGTTTAAAGCCAGTAGATAATTTACATTCCTTTCCAAAATTCATTATTCATAGTAAAACCTATGTAATCATTTAATATCTTTTCAGTAATGAAAATAATAAAAACGTAGGTGTTATGCATAATATACTCTAAGTTTAATTAAAATTGAAAGAAAAACAAAAAAAATATCAGAAATACATTATTGCTTTCAACTGACGCAGCAGCCACTTAGTCCAGGTCTATATTTTCTCTAATCAAGAAATCAAGCTTTCATTTAAATCTTTGCAACTCCACTGAAGTTCACAGAGGCTGAAGACAAGGGTCAAGTACAGAATATAATTTGGAGGTCATGTACAGAGAAACTGAACTCCACCTTTCCTATCAGTATTATTTTTAAACTCATAATTACCATAACACTTTTTCCTTCATCACCCTGACTTTGATATCCTCAAGAATAAGATGATGAGATAGATGAGAGGTGATAACAAGTTCTACTAAAGTAATCAAATTTTCGAAGATGATACCTCATAGGACCTCTTCAATTCTAGCAAGGATCTTCCAATTTCCTTTAGGAAAGGCTTCAATCTTAGAGGTGCTCATACTCTGCCACTAATGAGTATAATTTGAGTCTTAATGTCATAATTTTCTTACTACACCTATAGGGTATATTTGCATTATGCTTAGTGTGAAACATTTACATCATCTATATCTGAGTTAGAAAATAGAAACAATATTATATGTAGAATAATTTCTGGTATGTATTTGTTAGGTAAATAGACAGATAGTAGTGATGTAGAAACCAAATGAGCATCTATTCCAAAACAAAGATATATTGTGTACATAAAATGCCCCAGTGGATTGACATATGAAGGGAAATCTCATGACCCATCAAAATTAAAATCTCAGACTACAAGAGTGGAGGTAGGAGAGGTGATCAAAATTCTCTAGTTGCTAGGCATTTTATGGAAAGAGGCCACATTCACTCATCTTATTAAAATTCATGAAAATTGAAAATATCCAAAAGCCCAGGAGGGGTGGGGTCAGAAAATCTATTTCACTGGGAAGCTTACTCTAAATTCACCTTGAAAGCACTTTCCCCATCACAGACTTCCCAACAGCCTTTTGATTTCTCTCCTACTTAAGAGGTAATTATAGAACTTCTTTTCCTCCCAGCCTAACGCATACAGAAGGGGTTCACTTCAGCCTTTTATGCAGATTGCAATGTTTTTTTCCTAACTAGATCTTTATTGCAGATTATTTCTCCTTTGCTCTCTCTCTCCAATTCATCTAATTAGCTTTATTTTTATTTCCTTCTCCCCATATTTGTCCTCTGTGTCATTTGCTATCATAATTACTTTAGTATTAAATATTGTTAACTCTGCACTTCTCTGTTCCTCTTTTTCTTTGCTTTTGCCTTTAGTTTTAAATTTACAGTTGTCAGAAAACCATGACACTCAAGCACAGGAATGATGGAAGGGGGAGAGTAAACAAAGGCTACGTAGCATATTTCTCACATGGATAAATTTTTTAGAAAGATTCAAATCCAAAGGAAAAGAATAAATTCTTTTCAGAAGGATTTCCAAGGCCACCAGAATCACGTGATATTTTTAAGATCACGACAGTCATTTCAGTCAGGAAGAATCTGACTGTATGAGTTTAAACTGCCAATGATGGATGCTTGGCTTATATCATCTGATCTGTCCTTCACAGTTTTTGCTGCTTTTAATTTCCTGTACAAATTGACACAAAGAGGAAGATGAGATGGGAAACTCTGCACTATCCCATTTTCACATCAAGGAAGCCTGTCTCCTTCTAACACTGCTACTACAATAGTACAACAAAATTTCTCCATGCTCAGGCACCTCCTGTATCTTGGGAATTTATTAAGTTTAATATTTACTAATAACTAATAAACACAGTGTTTCCAATATTAAACCAAAGCTTAGGCATCACTTAACCACTGAAAAAATACTGTTTTAGGCAAGTTAGAAGTAGAGTCAACTTTGTTTGTTTGTTTGTTTGTTTGGGGTTTTTGCTAATAGTTCACCTTTATTCTTAAAAAGAAAGCTGGTAAACACTTTTTTTTTTTTAAACTACTTTTCTAGTATTGGGTAAAAATTTCAGGACATTAACAATGGCAGTACTGCCACAAACAGCTTGCTAGAGTATATCCCAAAGATTTAACATTCCAAAGAGAAGCAGGAGACCTGCGTGGCTCATCACGCACTTTTGCATGTGATGTCAATGGTCAATAACACACCGGCAGTTTGCCCCCAGAATCCACCAAGAATATATAATTGCCAATAAAGAGGCAAAAAGGAAATATTCTTTCATGGAGAAACTGTCGTATATATGAATATATGAAGTGATGATATAAGAATAAAGACTTGCTACAAAGCTCTCACTCAGAGAGTTGGTCCACTTTGGAAACAAGCAATCACAGATGTGACTAAATCAACCGAACTACACGTCACTGAAAGATTTGCCTTCAATGTATTAAGAACAGATTTTTTCCTCAGCCCAACTGTTCTGCTTTATATATCATTCACTCAATCAGCTGCATAGACCTCTCTCGTTGGTCGTTTCAATAGTAGTTGCTGAAGCTTTTATACATTTAAGATAATAGACACACTAAATACTGTAAGTATTTTTGTATACCTAAGTGGCCTCAAAAGAGAAACTTTCTATTTATAAACCTTAAGAACAAATTCTCCCTTACCCTGCTGAAAAACACTCATACCACCAAGTTCTACGGAATCTAAAGCAGCATCCAATGTTTTCTTTCAATGTTGTCTATCTCCCCAGCTTTAAATTCTCCCTTTTTCAGAATCCTATCTGGCAAACGGAGGAGGTTTTTTCAATAAATCAATACTGTAATAAAAAAATGACTGCCTCTATGTATTCCACATATTAACTGAGTTTCTCTTATACAGATAAAATCATTCACCTTATGCTCTATATTTGACACTCATTTTTAATAACAGACCTTAATAAAAGAAGCACCTAACAAAAAAGTGACTCTAAGATATCACAAAGTTAAATCTTGTCTGCTTTTACATATTGGCTAATCAACTTAATTTGATTTCAGAAAGAATGATAGCATTTTGCTGTTTTCAAAGTATATTTTTGAAAAAGAATATCATCTGAAAGAAATGCTATGAGAACAGGCATGTTAGGTAATAGCTATCATTTTTTTGTCAGCAAAATGGAAGGCTACCGTTTTCAGCAAGAATGAAATTAGCAGTTTATCCATGAAAAATGTAAAAAAAACAAAACCAAATTATATGCTTTTTCCTAAAATTATTATAGCATAAATATCCCTTGTCGTGGTTTAAATCCAGCCAGCAGCTAAGCACCACACAGCTGCTTGCTCTCTCCCCCACAGTGAGATGGTGAAAAGAAGAGGAAAAGTGAGAAAACTCATGGGTTGCAACACAGACAGTTTCATAGGTAAAGCAATGGCACATGCACAAGCAAAGCAATAAAGGAATTCATTCACCACTTCCCACAGGCAGGCAGGTGTTCAGCCATCCCTAGGAAAGCAGAGCTCTATTACGTGTAACAGTGACTTGGGAACACAAATTTCATCCAAACCTCCCCCTTTCCTTCTTCCCACAATACTATATGCTGAGCATGATGCCATATAATATGGGATATCCCTGTGGTCAGTTGGGGTCAGCTGTCCTGGCTGTGTCCGCTCCTAATTTCTTGTGCACCCCCAGCCTACTTGCTGGCAGAGAGATGTGAGAAGCAGAAAAGGCCTTCAGGCTGTGTTAGGGCTGCTCAGCAGTAAGGAAAACATCCCTGAATTATCAACACTGTTCCCAGCATGAATCCAGAACATAGCCCCATACCAGCTACTGTGAAGAAAATTATCTCTATTCCAGCCCAAACCAGCACATTCATGTAGCACCTATATGGAAAACAATACATACATGATAAAATTGCTCCCCAAAACATGTACACACAAAGAAGAAATTGCCTTCCAAAATGTTATGTTTAACAGCAGGATTTTCAAAACCACTTTTGTGCCTCACTCTGTGAAGTTAGTAAAAAGAAAAGGCAGAGAAAGAAAAGGCAAAGCAAAAGAGACTCATTGAGGAATACCAACAACCAAAACATATCTGCCTGTTCTGCTAAACACTATCATGTCAAAGTGGGCTTTGCTAATATGGGGATAGCCCTCTTGACAGCAGCTGCAACACTGTGTTCTGAGTAAAGCTCTGTTCTGTCCTCATAAAAACAACACTGAAGAGTTGTATGAGGTGTAGAGTTTCTAACAACACAGTCAATCAACATCATTACAGTATATGCTTCCGTTTTAAACCAATCACTTACCCAGATATTTCCATCTTGGTGGTAGGGTTTCCAGTTTCTCCCTGTGTCACTATAGAGCATCCGATATTGAGTGACCCAGTCAGAACTGCTGTACCTGCCTTGAGTTGCAATAGCACTGATCTGTTTCCGGTTCCCAAAATCCACCTGTAGCCATTGGTAATGATCACTGTCTGATGGAGACCAACCTCCTGCACCTGTTGAGTTGAAACAAAAGAGAGATTTAGATCTCAAACATTCACTTTGAAGTGAACTCACTGTGAAGATGCTGATTACTTGAAGGCAGCCCAGCTGAGAGGAATATAATACCAAAAAAATTAGAACATATATAAAAGAAATGATTACCCATTTTTAAAAATATGCATAGCAATCATTAGCACAGGCTTTAAGTACATTAACTCTGTTGTCTTAACCATATTTTGATATAATTATAATGATTTAAGGGGATGCCTACAAAACAGTCAATGCCTTTATAATGCCTTAATTACAGTTTATTAAGTTTTGCCAAATAATAATTATTCAAGGGTTGACCAATTTGACATGCAGTCCTTTGTCAGAGTAAGTTGGCACAAATCAATAACAATTGTTGGATTTTGTATGCCTTTTCAATAACATTTCAATTTAAAGAGATAATATAGATAAAGCGTGAGGAAATAAGAGCAAGCTTTATGCTTTCCTGTGTTTCACTATACTGCACAAAATAAAAGATCTACCAGAAAAATTGGGAAAGGAACAGGTTCTGTAGGGCTGGATGAAGTTTTGATCTGCTGGTTGTACAAGCTGTCACAGATTACCCTGGCAGATGCCTTACAGAAGTATTATTGCTCCTTATGGGTCTATGAATTAACTTGACAGTAATACTATTAACAATATTCTCAGCCACTAGACTACATTAAACTGTTCTAAATAAAGAAGGCCAATGATGCAGAGATAAAAGTAGTATTGAGACATTAATGCAATTTCTTATTCTTCTGAAATAAAAATACTCAAGGGAAAACTGTAGTAGGATTCTTCAAAGAATAATAAAATTTCTAAGAGAAATATTATAATGATTTATTTACCACAATGATAAGTATTAGGAAATACATGAAATAATAAACAATCCATCTATCAATACAGAGAAAAAGTGGAATATTATTCTGTTTATGACCATACAGACATAAATACAGAGAAAACAAAAAATTTACAGACTTGATGTGATTTACAGGGTCTTTTTTTTGTTTTTAACTTTGAACCAAATAAATGTCCTGGCACAACATCAAATCGTGTCGCCTAGTCCATGGGTCAATTTTTGTTGCTTTTAATTTCACTTACAGGCTTCAACTGATGTCACAAATCTAGCCTGCTTGCCAAGCAAGAAACTCTCTGCTATACTGCATCTTGTATACTCCCATCATTAGGCGGCAGCATTGCTTCAGTCATAGGCAAGTCTAAAAATTATTCAGCTGCTACAGGTGTTAATGTTTGCAGGTCATGGGACATTTTAATGTTGTGATATCAACAGAATGATCTGATGTCATAAGAGGTTGACTTTCATTGTAATTAAAAGAGCAGCACTACACCATTGACATCAAATTTGTTAATTTTTTAAAGATTTACAACAGATGCTTTCTCCCTGCACTACCCAGCAAAGTAAACAGGATATTTCAGCTGTAGGGAATCATTAAACGCTTTTTAAAACAAACAAACAAAACCACACAAACACCCTTACTGAAAAGAACTTGCAGGAAAAAGTACTCCCTCACGTTCCCAAATTCAAACTAGCTCTATTTTTGCAGAGAATGGTAATTTAATTTAAAATAGAAAATAGCTTCTTTATAATTGCTATACACGGATTTTGGAGCAGTTAGCTCTACATTCTTGTTATTATAGCAGAGATGATGTTTTCTCTCCCTATCCTAACATCCCCATCCAACTGACATAACTGAGGCTGATAGGACACAAAGGATAAGAAGCTGTGCCTGTACAGAAGCTATCTTTGTAAAAACCATTTTGGTGGCTACAGGAAAAAAATCAGGTTCAAATGTGAGCATTTTAAAAAATTATTATGAAAGACAAAGCTAATAAATCACTCAATAAAATTTCCTTCAGTAATGCAATTGTTGAAATAGGATGATCTAGTATAGTTTTAAGAAGGCTCAAATAGATGCTACATTTTTTATACATTTTATTTATGCAGGAATTTACATTAAACCAGAAGACTGTGTTAAGCATATTTAAAAGAAAAGACATTTCAGTATAATAGGATATAATTTCTTCATTTAGTATATTCTTATTACTGAGACAAGACTGGCCTTCTGTAATTGATAAACATATTCATTGTAAATTACAACTAGGTTTCAAAGAGTCTTCTCCTACAAATTCATCAAAAAGTTTGGAAAAAATTAGTGCTAACATTTGTTTTCTCAGGTTGATGGTTTTTTTGGGGTGGGTGTTGTTTGTTTTTCATGTCAGAAGAAGCAGCAAGCATTTTTCACATAATGCTTAACAAAAATTAGAGATAAATGACACAATAGTCACATCTAGGCCAGGAGATGGAAATACTAGTATTGCAAGACAGTCTATCCTATAACCATTTCTAATAAGTGAGAAACAAGACTTTTAGTCAATATTGCAAAGAGCAGCAAACAATATTATCTTATATCTCAGTTTCATATTTGCCCTTTGGCTTTTCCATGTAAGTAAATAAACAAATAGTCAAAAGGATAAAGGACAAACTTGCTGAAATACAGCTAAATGTGCTGTTTAGCAGACCAGCGTGTTAAGGGAACGATGATCACTCTAAATGGGAGGGCAGACCTCAGTCATTCCCCAGAAGCGACCTCTGAGTATCAATTAGAAGTGTCCTCTTCCCCTTTTATTCATCAAGCTGTGCTATTTCAGGAAGGTGACTACTTTGTTCATTTTGTTGGCGATACATGTAACCTCTTGTGGTTCAGAGATCCTTTATTTTTTTTTTCAGGTGCACGCTCTAAATAAGTTATGAAAATATTGGATTGTATACAAATTTCCCCACTGTGAAATCTTGCAAACACCCCAAATTTATCAGAAGAATTTAAGTACATCTGTGTCTCCAGCTGCTCTAAGAAGGTACAAAAATCTCACATTCCCAGAAATGTGCACATACAGCTCTGCATATCATTTAATATTTTGTTGAATAAAACCCAGCTTCTTCATTGGGATGCAGAAGTTGACTTGATACTGGACAGGGAAAAGAGGATTTACTGACAAATAATATATCTAACACATTTTGTCTTTTTAAAGGAGTGATGAATTTGGAAATCAAACTTGATTTCCACAATATGGCATTATTTTTGAAAAACACTTAATTTTATGGCCAGTACATTATGACAGAATAATGAATTGTCTTTAAGGAAGCAACCAAGTGACAGCACATTAGTAATTTTCAATGGGTTTGATGTCGTACTGAAACTGCAGTGGCATATTAAAATTGTGGAATAATTGCTATTCAGTATTATTATTCACACCTTGGTGTAAAGAGTTCATTTTTAATGGTTACAGGCTATATTCTGAATTTTATTACATTCATTATTTGTACTTTTTATTATGGAAAAAAAAGGCATTTGATACAAGTTTTTTTGTATGATGCTCCCTTTATTTCATGTACTGCCTTTTAATGACAGATGCTACAGTGTATATATAAATGTGAGCTACAAATTAGAAATAGATGATACCTAAAAAAATGTTTTAAAGATATTAAACAGATTATATATTACAGTTTACTTTCCTTAAAAGATAAGGAGCATTTATGGAGTTTTTTGGTTGTAAAAGTGCAATAAAATCAATTGCAGACAATATCTACTTCCTATTTTTATGCTATTCCAGAATTTGATACGAATAAACATATTCACCCACTCAGCAGCCAAAATAATTGATTCAATGAGATTAACCAAGAGAGCTACTGGATACTCTTATTTATATTATATAGCACTCTACATCACAAACAAGGCAACTCATTCCAACTTGAGGAAGACTGACTGTACGTGAACCTTTGTTAATAGAGAACTGCAAGTTCAGTGACAGTAAAGTCAACACTGACCATGTGGCCCACATGTTTCCAAGCATCCAAGAAACTTTCCTGTGCATGAAAACCTACAAATCTTAATCAGCAAAGCCAGACAGAGCATACCAGTGGTAAAAGGTGGCTATGAAAGATTTCATAAAGCTTTATTTTCAAAATAAGCTACAGAAAATCATATGATCTGCTCTTACTTCAGACTGACCAAACTGCTGAAAAATGCATTCAGTATGATTTCTTATTCAGAAGACATAAAACTATATTCAGAATGCTAAGAACTTGTAAAAGTTTTTTTTTTTTATGATTTTTTTACCAAATAAAGACAGTTGCTAACAAACAGTGTTAGTTCCATTACAAGAGTTGAAGTTCAAAGATTTAATTTTTTTTAATTATGAAAAATCCAATGCATTTCATGGTTTTATTGCATTTTATTCTACAGGTTCATTCTCCGGAACAAAAAACAGTATAAAAACATAGTCTATCTCTGAATGACACATGTAAAATATAGCACTTAACATATTTCTAGTATAAAGAATTCAAGTCAACCTTGGCCTATTTTTTCAAACTTTCATGTACCATTTTTATTAATTTTTTTATTAATTACATATTTCAGCTACCTATTCAAAGTTGAGTAAGCTACCTCCCATTTACTGTACATGAAGACAGTCTATGCGATGATTTAGCCTTACTTTCTTATCATTCCCCCACTGAATTGTCCATAAGTAGCAAAGCTGGGGTAGGTATACAGATTTTAGATTTTTATGTGAACTCACTTAGGCTACTGAATTTACAGAACTACAAGAAGGGAGACACTGATTTTTTTTTTTTTTAAATTTCTGTTCCATTTCATTTTGAAATCTTTCTTTCAAAAATTTGGCACTTTAATCTTCATTCGTGACTGAAACTGGAAACATTAATTTCCATTAGAAGAATCCACTCTTGTTTTAGTCATACTTGTCCATCATTCCCTACTTCAAATCACAAAATTAAAAATACCAGTACTGCAGTAAGTCTAATGTTAGCTCTTTCAAATGAGTAATAAAAAGGTTTCAATGATGTGAATTAAAGAAGGAAAGGATCCTTACTCAGTAATTTCATTAAAAAACAAACTATGAACAACTATAGATATAAGATGTAGGTTTTGTGGTAGTTAAAATT